TGTGTTTTTTGAACATTAAAGCATGTCAACATATTCTGTTACACCAAATACACAAAATAATGATCTTTAAAAAAGCATCATATGACGCATTTAATTGTTAAAATATACATGTTTCATATAACTATTTGTATAAAATGAACTGAAAAGAAACGTGTCTCTGTGCTGCCCTCTTGTGGTTGATCAGGGTAGTGCATAAACACTCACATGAGCACAGGTTTCACAGCATTCTTGATGTTGTCGTAGGCCGCTCGTCCTAGCAGCTCTCGAAAGCATCTCTCTGTCAGTTCCACTGGACTCTCCTTCTCCTTCTCTGTCTCTGGGGAAGGAGACCTATCAATAGGAATCAAAAACAGAAAACAAACATAAACCAGGGCTGATCAATAGGCCGATTGTTGTTGGCAGTACTGTGGTCAGTTATTTCATTTATTAGATGTGAAGAGTTTTATGGCTCAGAGTTCATTTCACGGTTCAATTTAGATTTCGTGGTCTGCCTCTGCCCCTCAGGGTTTTGGGTTTATTAGGTTTACAGCCAGTACAGCAGCTTCTAGAATAAATTACTTTCTTATTACACTTGAGAGTCACTTGACACTTGACACCTCAGTTGTAGTCAGTCTACTGTTATATCACAGTTTTCATTAGCATTCGATTAGGAGTTCATTAGCTTAATCACACAGACTGGCTAAAAGCTATTAGCAAGACACTGTTTCTCTGAAGGAAAATTCACACTTCCATTAGAGTGACTAAAAGTGTCCATGTCTCTTCATGTGTGATAGTGTGTGTATGCGAGCGTGTAAGTGTGTTTCAGACCTCTCTATGCCTTCTTCCTGTTGGAGGTTGAACAAGAGAGACGGCACGATTTTGTCCATGTGTTGAGGGTCCCAAATATTTGCCTGCAGTTCATCATTGACAGTTTTCCTCACCACCCCCTGAAGACCCCTGATCCCTGCCATACGAATCCTTACACACACACATACACACCACCCAAACAGACTTCAGTCACACACACACACACACACACACACAACCCAAACAGACTTCAGTCACATTTATGAGACGTGGATTTATATATGACTATTTTTATTAATGTGCACTGCATGGTACAGTTCACCCCCGATGTATGAATTATTAAATCACAAAGGAAAAAATGTTTCCTTTTATATCTAAAGCAGAATATATCATTTCTAATCTTGTTCTACTCAATCCCTGAGAATCCTTAAATTGTATCAGTATCTGAGGCAAAATCTCACCCACACACACTCTCATGCAGGCACGTGCACATACTCGTGCATATCCTTTTTGAATATCCCTATTGCTCTATTTCTTCAAAGCCTTAATGTTCACAGTAAGTCATAATTATGGATAATACTGTTTAATTAATTACATATGAACATTATTATATACACAACATTATTATTATTATTCATAATATAAATTTTACTTGTATTATTACTTTTATTTATTATAATATATTTAATTTCAAGGTTAAGAAATTAAACAATCATAAAGTATGCTTCATAACTTTCGACAGAAATGTTGCACATATGTTGTCTTAAAAAACACAATGACATTTCATGACAACATTCACACACATAAAAAAATATAAATATAAGATTTTTGTTTTTTAATGGCATATATATGTGGCTTTCCATTAATTTGGATTACACATTTTTAACATAAACTAATAAACTTAATTTGATGCATAATTGTCAGTAAAGCATAAATGAAATGGTTAAGAACCAGCTAAGAATTCGGCACTAAAAAAAATCATGCCATGATTTATTATTATCTATAGCATCTTGTTTTACTTCACCATATTTTCAAAACACATTTATTCAAATTGTTTATAATCGCCATAAATCGGTTAATTGTAAAAACAGTTACATTTATTTAGTTTAAAAAGTGTGCACATGATTAAACATGGCTAGCAGTGGAGAAAGTAATATTCAATTAGTTCAAATGAGATTAAAACAAATAGGATGTTTTGATGATAAATATAAACCTGGTTATTATGTATTTAAAGCATTCTGTTTATTAGTACTATTACAGAAATATTACCTGTTTCATTTACTTTATGTACAACTGACAGATTTGTATAAGATTATCTGGTAACACTTTAGCATAGGGACCTATTCTCACTATTAACTAGTTGCTTATTAGCATGCCTATAACATATGGGCTGTTTATTAGTACTTATAAAGCACATATTAATGCCTTATTCTGCATGACCATATCCTACCCTATACCTAAACCTAACAACTACCTTGCTAACTATTAATAAGCAGTAATTAGGAGTTTATTGAGGAAAAAGTCATAGTTAATTGTTAGTTAATAGTGAGAACTAAACCTTAAAATAAAGTGTGAACGATTATGCTTAAAACCGTATAATCCAAAAAACAAGGAGAAACTAGATTTTCAACATTCATAATTTTGGGTGTTAAAATCTTCCCCTGTTTGAAATACGGGAAAGAGGTGCTCACTTTGTGCGAATATCTGGATCCTCATAACTGGAATGGCACATCTCACTGAAGCGTGACACAAAGAAATCGTAGCTACGATGGTATGAAACAAAAGAGGAAAACATCTGCGGAACAAAAGAAGGCTTAAGGCAATTAGGCAAGAAGTAGGACCGGTGTAAATATCGAATCAGCTTTCCAGTGCTGGAGAGAAATCAAGGAGCGGGAAGGCCTGCGATCCGACGCCGAGGTTGCTTTGTTTCTTCTCGATAAGTGAGTAACACCGTCTACCCTATACCTAAACCTAACAACTACCTTGCTAACTATTAATAAGCAGTAATTAGGAGTTTATTGAGGAAAAAGTCATAGTTAATTGTTAGTTAATAGTGAGAACTAAACCTTAAAATAAAGTGTGAACGATTATGCTTAAAACCGTATAATCCAAAAAACAAGGAGAAACTAGATTTTCAACATTCATAATTTTGGGTGTTAAAATCTTCCCCTGTTTGAAATACGGGAAAGAGGTGCTCACTTTGTGCGAATATCTGGATCCTCATAACTGGAATGGCACATCTCACTGAAGCGTGACACAAAGAAATCGTAGCTACGATGGTATGATGCTGTGTCCTCCTCTATGTTCGCAAACTTCACAAACTTAAAGAGAAAGAGCAGAAAAATAGAGATAGTTTGATTACACTTTATATTAGGTGGCCTTAACTACTATGTACTAACCTATATTCCTACACTTACTGCTAATGAGTTTCAGAGTTTGAGGTATGGTTAGCTAAGGCTTGGGTTGCAGTTGGGTGTAAAGTTAACATTGTAACTACAAATGTTAATTAAATGCAAGTACTTTAACTGTTATTGCAATGCACCAACATGTATGTACATAATATTTTTGTTTGTTTGTTTTACATTGTATCACATCCTCTCTGGACTAAATAAAGTGATTTTAATGCTTCGTAATACAACAACCTGAATTGTAAGGCAGTGGTTCTCCACTGGTGGGTTGTGATGATTCGGGCCGAGTAGTAAACCAAACTTGTAGCCAATCAGCAGTAAGGGGCGTGTCTACTCATGATGTGGAGGAGAGAGAGTTCAGTGCACAGGACGGACATTAGCCAAGCCGAGCGACCGAAAGAGAGAGATGGCAGATAAAAAACAAAAGAGGAAACCGTCTGTAGAACAAAAGAAGGCTTAAGGCAATAAGGCAAGAAGTAGGACCCGTGTAAATATCGGATCAGCTTTCCAGCACTGTAGAGAACTCAAGGAGCGGAAGGCCTGCGATCGGGCGCCGAAGTTGCTTTGTTTTTTTTGATAGGTGAGTAACACCGTGTCTGTGCCGCAACAGCTAAAGTCTGTCTAGTACACTGGATGCAACAAAACAACTGTTGAAAATCATTTGAAATTTGTGTCAATACGTCATGAATAGAATGCAGCAGCAGTTTTCTGTCGGGAATTTGTCGTGTCACGCCGCGCCGCATCCAGTGTAGGCCATAGATATGTATATATATCTATGGTGTAGACAGCATCACTGATTATAATGAGTGCTATAGTATTTTGTCTCGCCGCACCACTCGCGTCCAGTGTAGACACGGTGTAACATTGGTTTTGCTTTGTTTCAGAAATAATCGTTGCCTGGGTTGCATACATATGTGTGGGGCGGATCTATCAAAAAA